AAAATTTTTGGTTAAGTGCTAGTGAAGTTAAGGCTTCACATGGGTAATCCTCAATATTAGTAGTGTTGGGTACCCCAGATAAATCCTTGGTACATTAACTCTCTCTTTTTGAGGTAGCAATAAGTCACTTGGTGGGCCAGTCAATAGTCATACTCTAGGAAGTGTCAAGGTATAGAATAGAAAATTAACATAGTGTGACTTTTATACTTCTTGTTTTTTCATGATTTGTTTCTATAAATAGATACCTATACTAGATAGTCATGTAACTATCTTATTCTAGTTGGGTGAGATATAAATATATAGCTCTTTGTACTATTCATTGATCTATAAATCCTTAGACAGTACAAATAGTTATTTATCCTGGTTGTCCTTAGGTCTTTTGCTTATTAAAATAAATCTTACTCACCTTGACGCAAGGATAAGCTAACGTTTAAAAAAAAAATTATAATATATAAATATCTGTAAAAAATATATTAAATAAAGGATATAGGCAATTATTTTGTAAAACAATCAGATCTGTGGATCAATAGTACAGTGATAGCACTCCCAGGTCTCCAAGTACTGTTTCCGAGTTCAATACCACTGCAAGACAGTATCACCTAAGTTTAAGTGATATAGAAAAATCCTATCTGACTTATGATAATGATCACCATCACTTAAGGCCAAAATCCTGTCTGATCACGAGATAACCAAAGATCACAAAATACTTCAGCCAGTTTTAGTGCTGAAGTCATCTCACCAGGTTCTACAAGCTCCTGCAGATAGGTTGAAGATCTGCTAGCCATAAAAACTGAGTATTAATAGAGCTCTGATATATTAGTTTGAGGAGGATCTCTATCAAACTGAGATCTGTTCAAGACTCCATGTGATCTCCTATAGGCAGATTGTAATAAATCATGTAAAAAAGATTTTTGATGGAATGAGATGACATCAAAGACTTCACGTGGGTACTCTGTAGGTATACTGTAATAGATATTGTAAAAAGAATACCAAGTGGAACAAGATACAAAAAAGATGTCCTATATCTTAACCCATTGGCAAAAGCTGGGAAGGAGTACAGATATAGTAGTGGATAGTTAGGCTTCCTTCATCCACAAGTCATATAGGTGTTGACAGTGGTTGTAATAGTCAATTGACTGTAACAACTACTTGTCATAAAAATGGGTTTATCACTTAATATATAAGACATAAGAAAAATATAGACATAAGTTGGATAGAGTTCAGAGTATAGCACTATGAAATTTGTATTCACAGTCCATAATGGTTTTATAGTAATAAACAGACTTTGTTAACCCTTCTCCCCCAAAAAAGTAAAACAATCTATATTATGTCATATGAAAATACAATATAATAGATATATCAATTAAAAACTTCTACAAGACAGTATTCCACATCAAACATCTAGCTTAATGGTAACTCTTTAAAAAAAATAGAATATGGATTGATATATAATAAAACAAAATAACAGACTGAAAAGTACTTTAAATTGTCTCAATTCGGTAATATTAATTATGGAAACATATTTACAACTAATTACAATACTCAAAGATTTGTAATCAATTTTTGGAATGATGAACTATCACTATAATTAAATTGAATCGATACAAATCATATATATATATAGAAACAAAACTTGTATTAAATATCAAGAAACTAAAACTATTTCTTATACCTTCTTATGTATCACAAAGTAACAAATATAGATAAAAACTAACAAGTATCTTTATACATAATCTAAAAAACTATAAAATATTTATCACTACTTCATCTCTTTATCATATAATACGTGATCTATCTTTTAATAAATCTGACCAGGCAATTATAAATCTCATCCAAGGTATTATCAGGAAAGATATCATTTTGACAATCAACAGCTATACTGATTCATATACAACTATATAATTAATACTTCAAAAGTATATGAATTAATATAAAAAATTTTTACACTTAATATAAAAGTAGTACTGTAAACATACTATAGAATGGAAAACTATAAATAACATCATCAAAAAGAACAAGCAATCCAAAGTTATACTCAAGTACAAACACTACCAGATACCTTATTATCTGAATTACTAATTAAAGATTAATATATAGACCTTGTTAATTTGCTATATAAACTGATTAGTCAAAGAAATTACAAATCATTCACAATTTTTTTTTTTCTTTAATTTCAATATTAATTAGCTATTCTTGATATATTAAGTTCTACAATAGGTGACAACAAGCCAATTGATAAGAAGAATAAATTTATTTTTAAATAGTTATATTTGTATATTACAAAGACATAAAAATTGTAAATTTATAACCATATATATACAATAAAACTTTTTTGCAAATAAAACAAGGATAAGTCAGTTTATATAAAATATATATATATAATTAAAAATTTATATTTTAAAAATAAAATAAAATTCATTTATTACATCTCTTTCTAATAATCTTCTAATCATACACAAAAAAGATGTTTACAAGAAGTTTTTATATTTCCTTACTAATAAAGTCTTAATACTTTCCTTAACAAAAATTATTACTATCTTTTTCTTATTATCCATAAATCTCTTTACTCAAAAACTTAACTTCCAATGATCAAGAAAAATCAAATAACACCTTTGATACTAATGGCAAGAAAGTTTTTAAAGAAAGAAAAATTGATTGTAAAGTACTTAAAGGCCTTTCTAACCTTTAAAATGAGAGGTTTATAAAGATTTATTGTAGTCAAAAGGCTTATTTTCTACTTTTTAAACTGTCTTGGTTCTCTTAAAGCTTTCACTTTTATAGTTTTTTAGAGAATTTTGCCTACCTTAGATTGATCCTAAATTTAGGATAGTACAAATCCTCAGTTTTTGAAATATAAACAAGCTCCTATTGGTTATATTCATATGTCTCATTATATTATTGATTATATAGAAATGAAAGTTTTAGAAAAAGTGTTCTTTTCAACTGTATATGTTTGATCTCCAGAAAACAATTATAATACTGAAAGGTGAGCAACAGGTAGATAAACAAATTCAATTCTTATCTTTTATTAAGTTTCTCAAGTGGTAAAAAGACTTTCTTTAACAAAAATGAAGGTCTTCAAACTTTTATCTCAGTTAAGCAAAGTTCTTGAAAAGATTTCTTTATTCCAGTCAAGCAAACTCTTCCATAATATGATATTGGCTCCAGTAGCATTAAGTAAATCCATATATTAGCAGACAGTTCCTCAAATGTTCTTCTTGAAGTTACTTCAAGAATGGATAAGTTCTTCAAATGTTATAAAGCTTAGAGGATATCCTGATCAGGTAAACCCCTTTTGACAGAAAATTGTGAAATGAATTAAGGACCTTTTAAAGGACTTTGAATTGTACTTTTTTTTCTTCCTTTTTTTAATACTATACTTTAGCAATTTATCATTTTTCAGAATAATCAACAGTGATAAACTGTTAACAATAACCCTGGTTAACTTAAAGGCACTATACTAAGCTACTAAAAGAGTATAATATTGTTCCCTAAATCTGACTTAGAGTATCTAGTTTAGACTTAGTTTTGTTTAGTCCAAATTAGCTTAGTGGACTCCTCATATTTTTTAAGTAGTGTAGTCTTTCAACTAATAATGTACAATGACAAGTTAGTTGCTTTGTGAAAGTCTAAAATATTTTGGTATCTTTTAGTATCTCAATAAAGACACACCAAAGTGGCATGATTGTGAGTTAAAAAAAATAATAATAATAAAATAAAAGTTTATTTATTACTTGATTGCTGCCACTTCTATAGTTATTGAATTAAGATTAAAAATATAATTGGACTTGACATTAATTGCTAATTTGCAAATTATCAATTATTTTATTACGCAGTAATTGTTTTTTTATAACGAAATAAGATTAAATTATCAAATAATAAAATAATTTGATTTTTTTTTCTATTTTAATTTTTATAATTAGAAAATGAGGAGGTTCAAATCTTCAAAAAATAACGGTTTCATTACAAAAATTTTATTTTACTAAAATGTATACTGAACACAAAATAATCCAATAATATTATAGTCTAGTAGCTGATGAATTGTTTTCTGCCATCGTATCAGAAGGGTATGATTGTGGTTGGCTTGTTGGTACTCCAGAAAACATGTTGATCACTCGTTTGTAAGGGAGTATTTTCGTTTCTGGAGTTTTCTTTATTTCAATCAGCTTATTAAGTAACTCACGTCTTTCTTCCTTAAGTTCGTCCAATTTTTGGCTAAACTCCTTAACTCTATATATTATATTCAAAAGGAACAGGTTTCATTAGAATAAATCTGAAAAGAAATCAAGATATAATAAAAACTTCATTACTTACCTATCCGGACTTGTATCTATAACTGTTATAACCTTTTTCTTTTCGTTTGCTATACAAGCCTCTAACCTTTGATTCATCCGGTTCTCTATTTTATTTGTCACCAAACTGCTTAAATCATTCTTGCGCTCTTTACGTTCCGGCATAGCTCTGGTCTTTTCTCGCAATTCATCTATCAAATTATTGGTTTTTTTTAGATCTTCGTGACTGGATGTTAGCTGTGTTTGAGCCAACAACAATTCTTTATCTTTAGCTTGTATTTGAACTTCGTAAGAGTTCTTAAACTCTTGTAATATTGCATTAACATCTTGTATTAAAAACTCCGCCCGATTAGATGTTGCAACAACTACAGAAGTAGATGATGCATTATTTTCATGGTTTTCGATTCCGTTTACAGGTTGTATATTTTGTGGTCGATTTGGTTGTTCAGTTCGGAATTTTGATTCATGATCCAATTCTAATATATAATCCTCCGCATTTTTTCCTTGAATATTTCGAATTTGAGGATCTCCTCCAGCGTCAACAAGAAGTTTCACAAGTCTTTTGTTTGCAAATCTCGCCGAGATATTAAGAGCAGTATCACCTTCATGGTTCTGCTTATTGATAATGGTTCTTCGATATTCCTCGTTGGGATGTTGTGCCAGTTGAGTAAGAAGCACTTCCATATAATACTTAGAAGGTCCGACCCTACCTTTAGTTGTAGCATATATAGCAACATGATGTAGTACTGTTTGATCACGAATATCGAGATTTCCAATAGTCCTGAACAAAAGTTGTACCATATCATGAAAGCTTCTATTTTCATAATTATATGGAAACATGACACTTCTCATGAGGGCCGTTTCACCGAGAACGTTTCCGCGATCAGGATCCGCTCCAGCTTTAACCAACAAAGAAGCCATATCAGAATTAGCCATGGCAGCAGCCCAGTGTAATGCAGTGTGACCTTGTTGGTCAATTATAATATTGGCATCAAAATCGGATGGTGGATGTATAATAAAATCCGGAATTGAATCGGCATTTGTTGTGAAATAAGTCAACATAAGGCTACCGTATTCAGTGGCATTGGATTGGTTTAGAGCAGTTTTTGCGACTTTATTTACACGGCCTCCGGAATCAGCTTGCTTACGTTTTCTCTTTGGTTTTTGTACAGTTGTAACAGTAGTAGCCTCGTCAGACTCGGATAATTCATTAGATGACTCAATTGGTGCAGGGGAAGTTGACAATGAAGATATTGGAGAAATAGATGCATTGGAAGATACGACACTGGCTACATCATTGGTCTCGTGATCTGTATCTACAGACATTATTTCTTCAGCCTGTGGTTCGACTTTCTTGGCTTTTTTAGGAATTCTTGGTTTTATTGCTTTAGGTTCTTTTGGCTCACGCGGTTTGCGTGGTTTATTTGACGCGGCCGTAACATGTTTAGGTGCCTGCGGAGGGCTTCCTAATGATGGTTCGAATTCAATTATTGGTTGCAAAAGTTCTTTAACATGATATCTTTCTGCCAAGTCGACGCCCGTTTGATATGGCACCCACGTTCCTAATATGCACAATGTATAAATGTGTGATTTAGTCAAACTCGCGACATTTCATGATATAGGTTCAATTAAATATCCCAAATATATTTTTTAATTTATATAATTGAATTCTCGTTGTTATATTAGTGTCATTCATTAATGAGCCAATGTTTAATGCAATATTTAAATTATACCTTGATATTTTCCGTAACCTCCTTGAACTTTTTCGTGTTCACCTTTTTGTACTTCGCGTTCCAGGATCCTGGTCCTATGTGGTTTATCAAATTCAGCAACTTTCAGAATCTGTGTAGCGTTAAGCCATGAATCAGTCTTCCTGCGCATAACAGCGACACTTCTGACCCTTGACGTCGAAAGAAAAAATTTTAAAATATGACGGCCGGAAATTTGCATGCAATCCTAAGAACGTCACATAAAATGACCATTAAATCACCCATACTAACCGGAACTCCCAAACTGGAACACCAGAATAAGTAGCTTTATAAATTTGCGAGGCAGAATCTGTCACTTGTGTTGAGGTTTGTTGTTCTGTTGTCATCTTTTAAGGCGTGGAAAAAGACTTCAAAAACCGTGCGTAGTATTATTTAAATGACAATCCTTGTGCAACTAAGTTTGTTCAGATAGCATTAAAGTATTAGTTATTCAAAACGAAGTTGGGAAACGCAAAAAATTTTTTGCATGTTCATGTAGTACAAAGTACAAACAGAGATGAATTGAACAGAGAATCCGGCATGTTACATTCAAACTTTAATTTCAGTTTCACACACTATTATTTTTATCAAAAGTTTTATTATTTATATTAACAATTAATTACTTATCAAAAATGTTTACTTAAAAGTTTTTAACTTTTTGGTTAATAAAGTCTTAATACTTTCTTGAAAAATACTTTTAAGAATTATTTCTATTTTTCTTGTTTTGTTTATAAGTATTATTAATCAAAAAAATCAAGTATACATCTTTACTATCAATAGTAAAAAAATATTTGAAGACCTTTTTATTTTTAAAATAAGTTATTTATAAATGTTTTTTGCAATTTTTTTTTTTTTTTTTTTTTTTTTTTTAATAACTGGCTCATCCTTGTTTTATTTGCGAGAAAGATTCATTGTGTACATGTTATTATGCATTTACAATTTTTATGTCTTTCTAAAATATAAATTCAACTATCTAAAGATGGATTTATCCTTCTTACCGATCTGCTTGTTACCACCCACTGTGGGGCCTAACATGCCAAGGATGGCTAATTAGTGTTGAAATTAGAAGAGAAAGAAAAGAAAAAAATTGTGAAAGGGTTTGTAATTCCTTTAAATGACCAATCTATGTAGCAATTAACCAGATCTACATATTGGTCTTTAATTAGTAGTTCAGATAATATGGCCTCTGGTGGTGGTTGTACTTGAGTATGGCTTTTAGAATATTTGTCTTTTTTGATGATGTTTTTCGTTTCCCATTCTACAGTATGTTTACATCGCTCCTTCCATATAGAGTGTGTGAATTCTCTGTATTGATTTATACACTTTTGAAATATAGATTGTGATATTGTATGTGAGCCAGTGTAATTATTGATTACCAAGGTGATGTTCTTTCTAATGATGCCTTTGATAAGATCTAAGATCATTTGATCAGATTTGTTAAAGGACATGTTTTTTATTATGTGATGAAGAGGAGGAGTAATAACAGATACTTTGCAATCTTTCATATTAAGTGTGAAGATACTTGTTAATTTTTACCTGTGTGCTTCCCATATTGTGATACATAAGAAGATATGAGAAGTAGTTTCTGTTTTGTGACATTTAATGCATTCTTTATTTCTATATATATGTGGTTTGCATCGGTTCAGTTTGGTCATGGTGAATAGTTCATTATTTCAAAGATTGATTGCAAATTTTCGAGTGCTGTGGTTGGTTGTAGATATGTTTCCATGATTAATGTTACTGGGGTTGAGGCAGTTGAAGGTGTTTTGCCAGTCTATTATTTTGTTTTTTTCTGTG